AAGTGGCCGCTGACACATTACACCCGACCTGGCGGCAGCTACTCATGATCGTGGGCGAGTCACCGCAGCGGAGGTTCTGCGGCCACCCGCACGACTGGGTGGTGCGCCAGGACGGTTCAGACCCAGTGCCGCTGAGGAGCACATATCTCGAGCACGACCCCTTTTTCAGCTTCGAGCACCTCGACGGCAGCGTCGTTGATGCCAATGCCTGGGGACCCGAAGACGACCCACGCTGGATACCGCCCGTGAGCGCCGCGGCGTCGCTAACGGGCCAGCACGTCTGCCACTCGTGCGGTCAGGAGCAGAGCGAAGAGCCCAAGGTCAACTCGTGTTACTGTTTTCCGAGCCTCTTTGGCTCAGGCAGACGGAGTCCGTGTCCTGTACAGGTTTTCAGGACAACCGATGGGCGGAACAACGGGCTGCTAGCGCTGTGCGCCTTTGAGAGGGGGGCAGCCATTGGCGAGTTCGTCGGCCTCGTGACAAAAGACCTTCAGAATCTCGATGTCATGGACAGTTCGACGGGCGTCAGAGGCTATCAGATATGGCAGGGACGGCAGGGCAACTATACGCGGTTTACGAACCACAGCTGCAAGGCCAACGCCCAGTTCCAGCACTTTGTCTGGATGAGCACGCAGAGGATTATACTCGTGAGCAAGGGGATCGAAGCTGGGCATGAGATTACGGTTGACTACTCGGGCAGCTACTGGAGAGGCCTTGACAAGGACTGCCTCTGTGGGGAGGCTTGCTGTCGATATAAAAACAGCAGCCATGTTTGATGAAGCAAGCGTACACGAGCATTCACGCAGGTAAATCATATGTCTTTTCTTCTTTCCCTTTTCCCCCTTCCTGGTCTCCCACATGTTCCCACATGTTCTTCAACAGCGCATTTTATTCTCTTCTGGACAGGGGGTTTAGGCGAAGGCATATTCATGTTTCATCTTTTAATGTAGCGCTTTATTTAGGAGGATACAGGGCCGGAGAGGAAAGAGGAGACCATGATAATGATAGCGAAACGGCCTGTCTCCTTGAGTGGTCCACGGGGCATGAAGTCTGCCCCATGTCACAAAGTGTATTCCTATTTCGAAATGAAAGGAAAAGGCGGTGTTCTCGATCTGCATGGATGGTCACACATTCTGTCAAACACAAACACACACATCCGCATACATCCTTTCCCACACATACACGCACACATGCGTATGCAGGCTGCTATTAAAAGTAACATGTACCGCTTTTCAGAGTACAAGGCCAAGAATAAAGACTGAAATCCAGAATCCGCCACAGTTCGGGGGCGGAGCCCAACCAATTACACAAGGATCAAGGGGAATTCAAGCCTTCGCCCCCCCCCCCCCCTTCTCCTCGAGGACCCCTTCTCCCTTAACCGGAACTCCAGGCAGACGCGCTTCTTAATACGCCTTCTTTGTCTCATCATCGAGCGTGGCTTCGGGTACATGGGTTGCGGCCACGCCTTCCGGCCCGCTCAGCGACTTACCCATGACCGCATTGGGCTCGTCGTCCGAGCCGTCCTGCGCGACAGGCGGGCCGGTGAAGTTCTTCCTAGCGTAGGCGAGATACCACACGGCACTGATGAGAGCGAACCCAGCAAAGACGACACTAGCGTAATTCATGGACGAGGCCGTGACGGGAATGGCGACAGGCATGGAGAAGATGACCACAGCAAAGACGATCCACAGCACGGATATGCCGTTGATCAGGTAGCCGAAGCGGCCGAGCGGGTAGGGCGAGCGGGCGACGACCTTGCGGCCGCGGATCATGTTGACGAGCACGGGGACACAGTACGACGTCGACAGACAAATGGTGGCGACGCCGGTGAACGAGTTGAAGGCGGCCGAGGAGCCGAAGAAGATGAGGCCCAGGACGCAATCGACGACGGTGGAGAGGGCCAGGGCCCACAGCGGCACGTCGAGCTTCTTGTTGACCTTCATCCAGAGGCGGTAGCCGGGGATAGCGCCATCGCGCGCAAAGGCGTAGGTGCAGCGCGAGGCGGCAGTTAGGGCGCCTACGCCTGCGAAGAAGAGGATGCCCAGGATGAGGAACAGGAGGCAGAAACCACCCGCCTTGGAGCCTGTAACAGTGGTGAAGAGGAGACCAATGGGCTGGCCGTTGGCGACGCCAAGAAGCATCTCAATGTCGGGCAGCACAAATAGCAGCGGCACAAGGTAGAAGATACCTGTGATACCCGCTGCAACGACGGACAAGACAATGGCTTTCGGCACCTGGCTCTCAGGGTGCTGGACCTCTTCACACATGGCAGCGACCATGCCATAGCCTGTAAGGGTGTATGCAGCTAAGGAAAGATGTATCAGTACGGACAGAGTCAGAACCGGACAATGACCAGGGGTAGAGAGAGAGAGGGAGAAAGGGGGGGTCGGTTGGAAGTTACAGCGGGCCAAGCGGCTAAGTGGCCAAGCGGTCAAGGGAGGCTGCACAAATATCCAAGGCGACCCGGAACAAAGAAGAAGGGAGCACCAGACAAAAACATAACAGGGAAGAGAGGGTGGCCACATACGCTGGAGCAAGCCTACGAAAAAGGACCATCCAGAGGGCCAGCCGCTGGCAGATGGATCGTAGTGAGTGAAGACAAACTCGGCGGATCTGCGCTGATCTGCCGTCGCTAAGAGGGTGACCAGGATGATGACCACGCTGGCGCCAGTCCAGTAAATGCAGACCTTGTTGATCAGGTCCAGATGCCTAGAGCCGAATGCATTGACCAGGGCGCAGACGAGCATGACCGCCCAGAAGGCGAGGACGGTTTGCCACTCGTTGGGCACGAAATCCTCATCAAAGATAGAGATGGCGCTGAGCACAAGCTGGGCGCCGGAGAAGTTGATCGACAGCGTGACGGTCCAATTGCCCACGAGGGTCAGCCATCCGTCAATGAAGCTGACGATCGGCGCCCACTCCGGGGTGCTCAGCATGGCCGACCAGTAGTAGACGCCGCCAGCGGTCGGGTAAACGGCGCAAATCTCGGCCAGGGACGCAGCAATGCAGCATGAGATGAGTGAGACGAGGACCCAACCCCAGAGCACGCTGACGGACTGGCCGGTGGTGAGGGTGATGTACATGGTCGTTGACAGGCCAAAGGGCACCGCCATGATGGCGAAGGACATGCCCAGGATGCTCATCATGCTGAGGTTGCGCGGCAGCTCGCTGGTGTACCCCAGGCGCTGGAGAGCCTTTTCGGCGCTGGGGGCATTGCGATCGGGCTCCATGATGTTGCGATATGGCGGGGGCCCTCAACTCGGTGTTCTAGAATGACCTGATTGAGTGGGATTGCGCTGCGCGCCGTGAAGGATTCTGTGGTTGGGCCGGGGGATTGAGAATGCGCGATATGACTGCCGGCATGAACTCTGAGCTACTTGGGGAGGCCGTCGTAGCTTAAGCCTCGCGCAGGGCCAAGACGGGAGACAAGGTCAGCGGTGCGCGGTGCGTCCGCCGGATGAAAGGTTCCTTGCGTCGGAAAAAGCGTGTGAGTTGCGTTTTTGAGTGTGTGTGTGTGTGTGTATGTGTGACAAAACGCGGCAGAAGCAACAGAAATGGTTTGCAATGGCACGCGCTCGAGATTTGACCCAAATTAGCAGAATACAGCCACGAGGTTCGTCCAGTCTAGAAGAACCATGGGGGAAGAATCCACCACGCGGGGGGAGACACGTCTCACGAGACCCCTTCTCGATGGCCCAGACCTGTTACTACCGATAACAGTAACGCCCAGTACGTCATGTATCGCGAGGGGAAGAAGCGAGGAGAGCGCAAGTACACCAGTAGAGCCAGGGGAAGCGATTCAGCTCCCTCCCTTGTTGGTATCGCGGTCAACTCCCCAACCAATGGCTGCTGTCATGATGGGCGAGGACGGGGTAATACAGCGGAGCGGAACCAATTGCAGAACACTATCTAGTGACGATTGGGATTAGAGCTGGACGGGGTCGCCGAGTTGCCGAATGTCGGCCGACTATCGTGCTTATCGTCTATCTACCCTGCACGTTGAGATCCTGGGGAACCTCGGGGGGAAATTGGAGTCGCACCATTTCCTGATAAGGAGAGATGTGTTGCCTGAAACGCCGAGATAGGAGAGCCCTCACCTCTGTCGTGTGGGTGATTCTCAGCGGCCTGGCTATGGGACCATTGGCTATGGGACCATTGATACAAGGCGAGAGCCAAGTCATGATTTGATGAGCTGTCTCTGACGGCGATAAGGGGGTTCGGTCACTGACTCGGGGACGTGCCATCGGGCATCAAGACGCGTAGGCGAGGGACCAAGATGCATCAACTCCAGAAACACGGGGTTTCACTCAATAGCAATAAGATTCATAAGTAAGGTAGGATAGCCGAGACAGGCGAGATGAAACACATGGATATGAGGGTTCCTTTTCTGGAAGGTCTGAACGCCATCGATTAGGCTCTCCACTAATATCTGAGGGTGAGCCTCAAAAATGTTGGCGGGCCCTTCACTTGCGATGCATACCATGTGCCAAGGCTGCTGTGCCCCTAGTTTTACGGCTAAGATGAAGCTACATTAGGTACCTTAGGTAACCAAACAACCAGGTATTCCAGGCCTGTGCTCATGTTTGTTCACCAGTCGCTCAGCCTTGATGCATACCCAGCTTAGAGTAGGAGTTGGCAGTTTGATAAGAGAGCCTAACTAGCAATAACCGTCCTTGGCGATGGGCTTTCAAGACCGTACTGATGGTCCCAAAGCTAACCCCGTGCCACCTCCAAGGCGCCAAAGTGCCGCCTGAGGCCATGCTAAGTGCGGCTTCACAGCCCTGCCGCGCCACCGCCCGCAGCTTGACACCTGACCTGATGAGAAGGCCAAGCAAAAGCATGCCATGCAGGGGGAGGGAGCCGTTTCCTGTTATTTCTGCGTCTTACTTAATGGCGTCACATCCAAAACCCCGCAATTCGAACGGGATCACCCCGCGATATGTCCACGCTCAAACAAACACCACGATCGCCTTGAGCCTCCACGAACACCCCCCACCAACATGGATCAGCACGACAACCACAGCGAGGCGCCTCCGCCGTATCCGGGACACCCGTCCGAGCTGCACAGCCATCGCGACGCGCACGACACAAATCCAGCAGACCCCGCGCCGGCTTACGAACCGTTGGTGGACAGGGCTAGCGACGGGCCGCTGGCTGAGGACAGCAATGACCGCCACGGCGTTCAGCCAGGCGCGCGGGCCGTCCCAACGTCTCAGCCATCGCCTTCGCGTGCGAGAGCATCATCCTCCACATCGCCGCCGCCTTTCCCCTCACCGGTCACAGCAGAGGCCTCCTCCTCACGCAACCCCTTTACCTACCTCAGGGACAAGAAGCGCGAGCGCGAAGCGACCAAGAAGGTCGATTTTTACGAGAAGCACTACGGGTTCGTGCCCAAGAACGTGCTGACGGAAGCGGAGTGGAAACGGATCAGGAAGGAGGCGGTCAAGGTCAAGGTACCCGTGAAGATGCGATCAAAGGGCTACCATTACTGGTGAACCGTCTGATCAGGGAGGGGGAGGGAAGAGGGGCGTAGGGGCTGCAGAAGACCGGTCTGCAAACCGGAAATTGCCGCCACAAATTTGGTCCGACGTACATTCAGTACAAGCAAGCCATGATGAGACCCACGCGTACATGACGATACCTAGATACCACACATAGCGAATCGATTCAGATGATGCTTCCCATTTTGAAATAGAGTCTTCTTGCTGCCTGCTGCCTGCTGCCTGCTGCCCAATATTGGTTGGGTATCCCGAAGTGAAGACTGATTTCCGTAATCCGGGATCACTGGCTCTGAACCTGACCACCAATCAACCACTCATTACGCCACGACACACCCTTGCGCGCAGAGGCAAGGGAAGGTGGTTTATATTGTCGCCGATCGCAAACCCATGTGCGTAACCTGGTCTGCGGAAAGTCTCACACTTCGCATCACGTCGAGGTGATAGTCCGTGATCCGCGCCACCGCCTCGGCAAAGGCATTGCAGTTTGCATGTCTGGCGCGAACACGTACCGAGGCCCCGTACTGAAGTCTGTGGACAAGGTCCCGCACGGTACCCTTGTATGCGGCTGGCCTGTCAAGACAGTTGAGGTCGGGGTTTTGAAGAAGGAACTGAACGAAAGCGCCGAGAATGACTCTGGCGCAGTTTTCTTGTCTCTCCGTGTTGCAGCCTTGCACTGTGCAGCTCAAGCTGTGGCAAAGCTTGCTCTGCATCTCCAAAAGGAGTTTGAAGACCATTGCAACAATATCGGCTCGCATCCGTATGATCCTGTCTGCGTGGCATAGTTTAGCTGATGTCGTCAGAGGACAGAGTTGCACGGTTCCTTCCCTAGACTTACCGATCATGCCCATCATCCGTCCGTTGTATCTGTGATTCGTGAGAACTAAATCAGAGGGACCGACGACTTCTCCGTAATTGCCAAGACCAGAGTCATTGATGAGGGTCCTTGCTGCGCAGAGAAAAAGCTGCTTATCACCGAGCTCCCAGGAGATGAGGATCACACGATCGCTGTCTGGGACGATGCTCATGACTGTCAATGATTCTCCAGCGCCGTGGTCGTGACGTTCTGCAGCGTAAAGACTGACGCCTTCGTGCTCACTGTGCAAAATGTCCGGTCAGCTGAGTCACGTTTTTGCACGGAACGGTCACTTACAGCTTCAAAGCCTGTGATTGTGTTTGTGCCAAACGAGCAGATGGAAACATGTCCTCAGAAACGCCATCGAAGGTTTCATTCCCATGAGAAGGGCCACCTACCTCCGCAACTGCCTCCAACTCGCGGCGCGAGCGTTTGCGCTTCCTTGGAGAAACTGCCGCTTGCCGCTCGCGAGGCTCATCCTGTGGCGAATGGATCGTATCACGGATGCTATCCAGCCAGGCGGGTGCAAACATGGCAACCACGGGGCCCATCTCAAAAGAGCTTAAAGTGCTCGCAATCTGGTAGAGAAGATTCGGAGAGGCCGTCCCGGGGACATGTTCGTATTCGAAGTGGCAAGCGTGCAAAAGCACCTTCATGGCGGCGGGATCGATCGCAGGGAGCACAAGGCAGGGCTTGCCAGCCGTGGCGGGACCTGGCAGGATCTTGTCCCACTCTGCCGAAGTCGAAGCAAGCACGCCGGCGTTGAACTCGAAAGAACGTGTGGCGTCGCCTTCACCGACGATGATGCAGACATCGGCTCTTTCCTTGATACCAATGATGACGGCCTCGGGACGGGCGTTGGATGGCCTCGAGGGTGGGCTGTCTTCGAATTTAACTTCAGGTTCTTCAGGGCCTTCGTCGTCTGTACATATCTGTGATCCCTTGCTCGAGCTCTTGGGGGACGCTTTTGTATAGGTGTCATGCGGCGGTAACATGGCTGGTCCAGACTTGGGACTTTGAGAGCGAGACATGTTGTATTGTCTGCGTGTACACCTTAGAGAGTAGAGGCTCTTCTTTGTCGAGCCGGTGTTATGTCAAGGACCGCAACAAGTTTCGACACGTCATTAGCGCAAAATTGGTGAAGTAGAAAAGAAAGGTCGTGCCACCTAACACGTCTGTGTGTTGTGCGTTGATATGTTGATGGTTGCATAAAACCTTTGCTGAGTTTCCGTATCGGTGGAAGGAAGGTGCATGCCATAGTTTCAAGAGATTGGTTGCTGGTAGAAATACGACAGTGAATGTGAATGGCTGTCGTGGAAGGTGTTCGTTGGTACGTTACCCTGCCCACATACTCTGATTATCTTCGTGCTAACAGACTCAACAATAAAACAACACTTTGTTATAGCTGGCATCATCTCTAGTGCAGTAGCATCTCTATCAGTATGACTTTCTACTTCATAAAGCGGGAAGGAAGGAGAGTAGCTTGGGTGTTCAGTGACGTGCTCCCTCTTCAGTCTGTGTAACGTTCATAATCATTCCGAACAGGCCTTGGCCATGACGGCGGCACAAAAGCCGCCCAGTTCCAAGCTGAAGCCTTAATATCCCGGAAACGCCATTGATCCTTTCTCGAACATGATAGTAAACCATACGACTCCAAAGTTGGGATTGTCTTCGCCAGTCATGCTTAAGTGTCAGATTACGTCTTCGAGATGATGATATACTCAACGCTACTCTTCATCCCACGTAGGCAAAAACGCGCCCGTGCTTGTTCTTTGGCCATTAAAATAGCCATGCTCAAGTTTTCCGCCAGCTTATTGGATTCATTCCGAGCCATTCGATTAAGGGGGGCAGGTTGGTCTGCTTGATGGTGATTCGGTTCTTTCAGTTCCTGTGGCGTCGGCGCCTCCATTTCTGGTGTATTGGCTATCTGCATGTCAGAGGAGGAGGAGTCTGAGTGTTGCTGGTTGTGTGAACATGTGCTGCCTATGCTCGGGTTCTGGGTTTTGGCTTCGGTACGATTGTAGTGTCGCGAGCGCCTCGCCTTAGCAATACAACCGGATTTACCCGTTAGTACCCCTGTCCGCCCAGGTTTTGGTGTTAAGGGGGAAGAGCTCCTGATCGTGGTTGCAAGAGCCGTGGCTCTCTCGCTATCCCCCAACTTCTGGGCGATTGCGTCTTGGAGAGCGAAGTACGAAGCATATCAGTTAAAAGCCAATTCAACTCGTCGCAAGACATGACCGCGTCATAGCGCACAGAGGCCCGGCAAATTCATGTGATATTACTACATCTGACTCCAACCCCTCCAGAGACGTCCGAGTAAAACAAGCCACCCCGAACTCCAGGTACCAGGCAACATGTCCAACTACGTACACTTGGTGATATACATGACGGCAGGAGCAGGCGGCGGGTGCGCGTCCTCGCCAGTAGCCGGTGCAGGCGTGATAGCAGCGGCAACGCCGGCCGCCGGCGTAGGCGTAGTCTTGGCGGGAAGCGCGGCCGCCTTGCCGAGGAGGATGCCGTTGAAGGCATCAGCAGCAGCCTGGTTCTGGGTGGCAGCGACGGCGGCGGCGCTGGCCTGGGCGCACGTGGCCTGGATGGCGGCGGGCGCCTTGCACGAGTCGCTGAGGCGCTGGCAGATGAAGCCGGCGATAATGCCGACCTTTTGAGCGGAGCCGTGGCCAAAGTCCTTGAGGTTGTTGGGGATGAAGGCCGACTCCTTGCGACCGTCGAGACCGGCGGCGAACTTGATGCTAGGGTCCGTGCAGGTGCCAAAGTTGCCGGCGGCAGGTGTGGCCTGGCGGCGCTCGCGGAGGAAGCGCTTGCTGAGGGAGCTGGCAGCGTGACACTGGGTGTTCTGAGTGTCGCACTGGCCGACACCGCCGGTCAGCTTGCCCGTGTTGGCGGCGTTGGCGCAGGCGTTGTGCTGAATGTCACACGAGCGGCCAAGGGCGGCACCGGCACCGGTAAAGGTGTTGCCGTTGACGGAGAAGGGGCGGTCACCGGTACCCTTGATGACGGGAGGGGCGACGCCGCCGAGGGTGCCAGTGAAGGTTTGAATGTTGTTGCCGGCCGGGGTAGTCGGGACGTCAGTGGCGGGGACGGTCTTGGTGATGACGGTGCAGCTCCGGGTGGTAGTCGTAGTGGGCTTCACAGGCTCGCACTCATCGTCGCCCGGTGCGTAAGCGGCTGGCTTCGCAACGGCGTTGCCAGCGCCGGGAGCTGAGGCGAGAGGTGTGACGTTAGGCTTCGCAGCAGCCGGGCCGGCAGGAGCAGGGGCGCCGGCCGCAGCGGCGACGGGAAGACCAGCAAAGTCAATGTGGGTGGCCTTGAGCTGGCCGGTGCCCGTGAAGGCCGGGACGACACCTTGAACGGCGGCCTTGATCTCGTCAGGGGTAGCATCGAGGAGAAGGAGGCGCTGGGTGAAAATGCAGCCGACGGGGTCATTGGCGCTGTCGCAGGACTTGCCGGCGGCGGTCCTGTCATTGAGGTCTCCGGCGACAAAGGTGCCACTCTCAAGCGCGAGGAGTGGATCGCCGCCGATGAGGGCCAGCTGCTTGGCCAGAGCCAGGGCAATGGCCTTGTTGCCTGCGAGGGCGCCAGGACCGGCGGCATCCTGGTGCTGGGCGAACGCGCCGATTTCAGGGTTGACGGGCTTGTCAGTGCAAGCGGCACTGACGCCGCCAACAGAGCCGGTGTTGCGCTCGAGGGCCTGGTAGACGAGGGCAGCGGACATGCCGCGAATGTCTCCCACCTTTTTGGCGTTGGTGAAGGCCTGGTCAGCAGTCTCCTGCTTGAGGCATGCCAGGTTGGTGACCTTGCCGGCGCCCTTGGAAGCGGCAGCGTCACCGAGGAGGCCGAAGACAGGATCGGCAATGCCCTTGGGGTTGTTGAGGTTGAGAAACTCGCGGGTGATCGTCAGGAAGATCTCGTGAGAGTGCTCCTGGGGGACCTGGCGCTTGACGATGTTGCTTCGGGGGCTGTGCGCAAGCGGCTGCGCAGGGCTCGCAGAAGCCATGCCAAGGAGGCCGAGGGTGACGAGTTCAAACTTCATTTTTGTTGATGGTGAATCGGCGACAAAGCAAAAGTCAGGGGTACGTTGTCTCTATGAGATGGTAATGAGTGGTAAGTAGATGAAGTGAAGGACCGTCCGAATGCAGTCAAGGTAAAATACTCAAGAATAGGTGCACTGAGGCACAGAATGGAAGATTTCACAGAACCCGTGAGAGAAAGCCGGGGAAAAAGAAAAGAGAGTAGTATCTCAGAGAATGTTGGACGATGATGCGATGTGTGACCAGAGTGAAGACCAGACGAAGAGGACCGGGAGATCAGCATGATTATATAGTGGAAAGACAAGGATGAAGTAGATCGGATCACTTGGCAAATTGCTTGATTCCTCAAGACCCATACCCTTTGTCCCCCCTTTGCCCCTCGTGTGTCGGTATGCTTCGATATCTTGGTATCAGTGCTGCGCCAGGCGTTCATCGTGGTTGTCCCTGGGGCTCCTCTTCGGATGCTACGCAGCCGTGGGCATGTTGTAGGTACATGTATGCCTGGGCGCTTGTACTCGGCTCTCGGCAGTGACGGCTGGAAAGTGACCAAATGGAAGTATAGCAGGCCACCCAGCTATGCGGGATGGCTTTTCACAAAGGCCCCCGGGAAGTATCGAATATGGCATCTGACAGGTAGTGCACGTCAGGGACACCCTTTGTGGACCTTGAACCTTCGGGAGGGTGACATGGAAGTGAAAATCTGGGTTAGGCGAGGATTCGAGACCGCGCAGCGTGCCGAAAGGAGATTGCGGGCTGCTCGAGTCAGCGACCCTCAGGCTGCGCATCAGTGCCGTGCAACAGGCATTTTCTTTGCTCTGCGGCGACTTGAGATGGTAGGTGAGAAGGATTGAGCGCGATCGAGGGGCCACGCGGCTGGGTCGTCGTTGATGGGCGAGGTGGTGTCGAGTGGAAGTTGAGGCGAAGATCAGACAAGGCGAGCGTCATGAGGGTTTGGGCCAGGGTCCCTCAGGCTGAGCCCCACCCATCTGATGCCAAGAGCGTCTCCGCCAGTCACACGCTCGTATTCCCCAGGGATAGCCCTGGCTCTGTCCACGTGATATCGACCTGTGCCTGGCCGACTCTGAAACTCCATTACCACCCTCACACTCTTTGTCTTTCCAGGTCTTTGTGCGACCAAGTCACCAACCACCAGCGACTGTCCACCGCCGCCCGTCTTTCACTGCCATCCCTTGTCGTCTCAACTCTCCATGTGGCGTTTTGAAGATCAATCTGAGAGATCAACACCATCACCCGTCCATACTTCATGCTCGACGGCTACACAGCATGTTTCCCCCCAGTCATTCTTTCATTTGTCACCATTGATCAGCACACTGCAATTGCGCTCCTGCGTCGACACGGCCACGTCCAACGCCGGGTTCCCTTCGAAAAAGTTGACCGGCTTCAGCCCGACAATCATCTTCTCGCACGGCATGACGGGCCAGTCCTCAATCCGTGGATTGTGCGTCGACCCGAACGTGTGCCACATCACAATATCTTGGTTTCGAACCGACGACCTGGCCTCGTCATGACGCCTCGCCGCAATCCACGAAGCGATCCCTTCGCCGCCGAGCGACTGCATCGTGTGCCTGCCTGCCGGAAACAGCTCCTCGTCGTCATGCCGAGTCACCCACACCGCGTGCGCCGCGTACTCGGACCGTCGCGCGTGGTACGACGTGGGGTGTGCCAGGAGCAGTTGGCTGTAGCATGGCAGCAGCTTGAAGCCGATGGGCGTGCCCGTGATGGTGTTTTTCTTCGCCTCGTTGACGATCTTGAAGACGCGGTTCGTGTGAAAATCGAGATCGAGACCTGTCTCCTTTTCGATGACCTGTGACGTTGTCGTGTACCCGACGCCAAAGGGGTTATGGTCCTCGCCGGACGCGTCCTCCTCCTCCTCGAAGGCCATGGCGTGCGATTCCTCGACGACTAGCGAGTTTGCGTGTCCGCCGATCGCTGGGTCGATTCGCAGGCAGAAGAGGTGCTGATGGTACGGTGCAAGTGTGCCCGGCGCCACGATGGTCCCGTACGGCACCGTGTCGCCGATGTTGATCGGCGCCGTCGACATGATGCCTGTTGCGCGCACCTCGTAGAATAGCGACGCGTCCTGCTGAAAGTAGAACAGGAATAGGTACTCGTAGTTGCTCACGGTAATGATGGTCTGCAGCACAAGCACCCTCGACCGCGTCACGACGGCGTTGCCCGTGCGAAAATTGGTGTGCTTCCACAGAATGCCGTCGTCAATCTCGTGGCAGCAGACAACGTTGGGCATCCGCAGCGGCTCGCCCGCCGCCGTTGTCAGCCAGCCGTCAAAGTACCGGATATGCCCGAGACAGTCGCAGCCGAGGCCCAGGTTGTTGGCGTTGACGCCGGCGCCGTCGTTGCCGAGGTCAAAGGCTGCCTTGCGCGGGTACGGCGCCCGGGGGTCCGCGTACGGCACAAACATCTCGGCGAGCGAGAGACGGTAAAAGAGGCTGCGGCCGTCGTAGCGCACGTCGTGCAGCGTCATGCACTCGCGGTAGTTGAAGCCGATGCGCATTGTCCACTTTTCCCACGTAATGAGGTTGCCCGCGGTGCTGAACGATGGGCCTTCAGGCTGCGAAATGTGGTACGGCTTGGTCGTCGTTCTGTGGCTCGTGAGCAGGTCGGGGTGGTACTCGCTCTTTTCGGCGTCGACGATTTTCCGCTCGTCGAATTCCGCCTGACGCGTGTGCATCTTGTCCCCGGCTGCCGATGGCAAGCGGTAGACGCTCGTGACCTTGAGGTCGGGCGACACCTCGGCGCAAATGTCGAGCGGGTAGGCGTAGTAGTTGGCCTCTGGGTGGTCCGACAGACGCATGTAGAACCAACCCTGTCGTCTGTCTTTAGCATATGTCATTCTAGGAATGAAGCGATGTATTTGATCTCACCATGGTCCACCGTTCCTTCATGTCCTTGACGCCGTCGGTGGCGTACGCCCACGGCTCAACTACCACCGTGGCGCCCTCGGGCAGCTTCAGCGATTCAATCTCCCGCTGGACCTGCTCGTCTGCGAGACAGGCGTCGCCGACCTGCTTCATAAAGTCCGTGTCGATGTAGGAGTGCCGTCCATGAAGCTCCTTGGTCGAGGCCACAGCCTGCTGGTCGAGGTCGACAATGATCTCGTGGAGGACCTTCTCAATGAAGACCTGCACTCTGGCCTGTCTGGGTGGCCGTGCGCCGGAACCAGTGCTGCATTGTTCGTCGTCAAGGAAGACGACCATGGCCTTCTTCGGGGGTTCGGCAAGCGAGATGGCTCGGAAGAACAACTTGTCAGCCGGCCATGACTTTTTCAAAATATTGGTCGTCTACAGGGCGCAGGGCGAAAATGGTCAGGATTCATGTGTCATTTGGGTGGCCATCGTCTGGGGAAGGAAACACACACCTCGATGATCTCACTCGGAGTCAGCGGATCAAAGGGATGAATCGACATGGTAGATATGATGAACAGTTCCGTCGGGCTGAATGTAATAAAGCCGATGCACGATGGTGCGTTCTTCGATGAGCGCGTTGATTCTCGCTGTCGAATTGCCTCAGCAAGCACGGACTAGTGAGGGCCAGCCTGAACCCCTCCGGCAACTCGATGATGAAGCCCCGTTTAGCGAGGCTCGATTGGGTCATGTGTCCCGGCTAACTGCGGCCAACCCCGCGCCGTCCTCGGAGCAGACCCATCCCCGAAGAGTAGGTGGAGCCGGACATGGAGCACCGCGCTCGGCATCAGTCTGCTAAGGTGAGGTTTTGGCGATGACCGTCTCCGTATCGGACAGGGAGCCTCATGGGTCTCGCCGAACAAGGGCGAGCATGCTATGTGCTTCCGTGTCGCTGGCGGTCGTCGTACAGACTGCGTAACAACATGACTCCGACATCGGTCTCCACAATCGGTCGGACCGGCACGTTGGTCTGCTCGGAAACCGAAACTCACACCGACGTGACGACCATCGTGAGTCAACAGAATCCTTTTCACCATGATTCGCCGAAAGGACGAAGGGAAAACAGGGGTATATCAAGCGGCTTGATGCAATTATTAATAGTTGTTGTCGGAGCGCCAAGAGACAGTCTCTCGTCGATGTCCGTCGCTCACACCATTTCAAATCCGACTCTCTTGTGAACATTCTTTTCGAGCTCAAACGAAACAATTACACCAAACGCAGCATGAGTGTCGAAAATGGGCAGCGAGCTAAGCCCCGTGTGGCTGTTCTATATCAGAACACGGAGCCTCCCGTCATCGACGGGACACGGAAGCCTATGAAGCCTGGTGGTAGGCACTGTGCCTAACTTGGTCACCTGAGATAACTGGAGGCCTAAAGCATATTAACAGAATCACAGGCTACCAGGATTCCGGAGCAGACATTGGATATGCCCTGAGTCTCTCAGATGAGGTTGAGGTCATCACTCAGTCCTCTGACCCAGTCCCTGAACAGCACGCTGGATGGTGCTTCCCTGACACCGAAGAAGGAATTTTGCAGGCCATTGAGCGTGGTGCCACTCATCTTTGGGCTAACACGATTCTGTTTGCCTCGCATCCAATTCAAGCATCTACCAAGGTCGGCAAGCACCAGAATTACCTGCGTGTCGTTGGTCAGGGCCCTTTGCTCGTCGAGAAGTACGACAACAAGGACTACGTCAATGGCCTCCTTCGCCGACTCGGGGGCTTCACCATGCCGCGGGCATGGTCGCTACCGTCGGGCCCTATCACCCTCAGCGACATTGATGATTGCATCTATCCCCTCGTTGTCAAGCCCGCCCGAGGCCGCGGCAGCTACGGCGTCAAAATCTGCAAAGACGCTTCGGAGCTCATCTCGCATGCTGAATCGCTGAGGTCTGAGGGTCTCAACCTGGTCATGGTTGAAGAATATCTCGCTGGCGAGGAAGCGACAGTCACAGTCATGCCGCCGAGCCTTGACAGGCTGGGCTACCTGGCCCTGCCGGTTGTCACGCGCTTCAACCACCAGGATGGTATCGCTCCGTACAATGGCACTGTTGCCGTTTC